CAAATGGAAGAGAAAGACAAAGTAGCAGATGGTGCGATATTGTAGAGGACGATATGAAGTTGCATGGAGAAACATGGCATTAGCGAGGGAGAACCACGCGGAATGTGACTCGTATATTAGTTTATTTAATAAATGAAGATAACAACAATAGTGTATTGAAACAAAATAAAATTCGGTTCAAGCGTGGTAAAGGCTGACATTCCATTGTGCTTCAAAAAAATTCAGCTGTCCCAGTTTAGTACTTTTTTGAAAGAGTTAAACGCGTTTCAACTGGTTTCTATATTGTGCATGATAGAAGGAGCTGTAGTTGAACTGTTCCGTAGACTGTGTGTCTGCTCGAGCAGCACAGTTTGTCTATGCGTTCAGTGGTTTTCCTCTGGGTCACCGCTTGGAAGGCGATAGCAGGATTCCATTGCGAATTACAGTTGCTAGGACTCTGTGGATTTATAGCTCTGTTTGTAGCCTCGCCAAGCAAATCGATACAGCCGCTGCCCATTATTTCAGTTATGTACAAACCCAGTCTTTAAAAATTGTTTTTTCAGTTAAACAATTTGTGTTTACGTAAGTTCGGTGCATTTCGATACCGCAGTTATCTTTAGATGACCTTTCAGTGCGATCATTGATTACGGTATGAAAATGTAATGCACGTGTTATAAACCGTTATTTTAGCGTAACCTAATCAATTCAAGCGTTGAAATAAGTCTGAAATAAAAATGGGTTAAAATCGATTTAAATTTGTTTCATTAATTTCTGAAATTCCACCAGTAGGAAGCAGCCAAGGCCACGCTTCAGAGTCTGCGAAGTTAAGTTAATTTACTGAATTTCATAACATAACTGAAACTGCCAGTTCACAAAAGAATGTTTGCAGTGTAGGAAAGCCTGGAATTCTATAATAAATTAGACGAAGGTTGGAAAATGCAGATGCTTGAAGATGTCAGTATACAGCTGTACACCTGCGCGATAAACGTTTATTTGTGTATCAAGAGATGTTTTCCTGCGTGTTAAAAAATTTATCTTCGTTTCCTTGTTTATGTAGTAACGATTCTTTACAAGTGCTTTATTTTAGCTGTTAGTGAATTTTCTCCTCTCTCCTCATTGAGTAAGTTTTCGGTTTTTTATTTTGCTTGTTTGAAACAGTGGTTTGTGCTGCTTTAGCCGAATGCTTTTCCGTTGAATACTGTGAGCCGCCGTTTTGGTGTTCGGTAAGTTATTACGAGTTGAACAAACGAGTAGGCGAAACGTTTCACGCCAGCCAGCCTTCGTTGACCGTCGACGGTTTCTGTGACCCCTCCAACGCGGAGCGCTTTTGTCTCGGTCTTCTGTCGAACGTCAATCGCAGTCCTGCGGTGATCGAAGCCAGAAAACACGTCGGTATGTAGCTGCGCTTGCTTTCTTCGCTTAGTCAAGATTAGTCAAGTCACGACCAGTTCATCTTGTTTATGCCACCTCTTGAAATTATACAGCAGAAGGACTAGAGTAACCCGTCAAGCACTATCCTGGAAAAGTGCGCATGTTCTCGCATTGTGGCACTCGAACTCATATGCTATGCCATAATTAAAAAGGGCAAATTTTTAATCGTTCAG